CAGACCGGTTCCCGCTCACTGGCTGAGCGAGGTGCAGGCGCAACACCGAAGGTTGCGATCCGTTGCCGGACACGAAAAAAGACAAAAAAAAAAAGTTTTACAGCAAAAGGTTCATACTGGCTGCAGGATGTGAATGTGTTTTAGCACGCTTGACGCTGCAGCAGGGTTCCTGAGAGCAGGGCCTCCCGAGCGCCCCCGGGGCCTGTCCCCGATTGAAGGGTCCACACCCTACGCCCAGTCTTACTTGCTGATGTACTCCCCGGTGAGGACCTTCCCGCAGGACTTGCATTTAAAGCACCCCAAGTGCCACTGCTTATCCAGCGCCAGCAGCGCCTGCCCGTTCTTGATATCTCGTCCGCAGCCAGCACAATCTGGAAAAGAGCAGCAGCCCGCAGTCAATCCACGTGTGCTTGGCTAAATCCAAGCGTGTGGGCCGACTCCACCCCACTGTGCGCCCATCACACACTCAGTCAATATTTACTTAAACACAGTTTCATTCCATTTCCTTTCCCTGCACAAAATCTTTCCCGGCAGAGTCTCATGGGCCACACCCTCCCACAGCATGGAAGCCTCATGAACCTCAGTGCATCTTAATGGGATAAATGTCCTTCACCCTCTTAGCTCCTTGGGAGGTATTCAAGTACCCTCTGATCTCCAGCTGGCCCAGAGAATATTTAATTACAGCATCTTGGCTGTGATTTTAAGAAAGCACTCACAGGCCTTCATTAATTGAGGGCACGTGTGAATAGCTAAGCAGCTCATTCTGCCACCTCCCTTCACACTATATACGTGATTCCTGGAATGCTGCCCATGAATCTCATTTTTGTAAATGGGACTCTACCTCCTTATCAACCTAGACCAGCCTTTCAAAGATTCGTGATCATCAATTAAATGGTTCTTAATTCCTTAGCTTTAAATTCGCCTTGGAGGCTCCTGAAAAGAAGAAAAAGGAGGTAATGATAAAAAAAAAAATGTGGGCACTGGAATTAGGTGGCCTGATCTCCTGAACCCCAGCTCAACTTCCTGTTGTCTGGTGATGCACCCAAGGCAAGTCATATCTCCTTTCTAAACTTTGGTTTCCTCATAGGGAAGTGGGGATGTCAGCACCTGTCTCAAGACTGTGATGAGAATTCAGTGAAATAATAGACTTAACACAGTGGTTGACACACTGGCATTGGCTCTATAAACATCTGCTATTATTATAATTGCCATTATTATTCTGATTATTAAATACTTCATTGTGTTAGGGAAATTGAGTATTCAGAAAAACCCAGAAGAATGTAAATTGGTGCATCCTTTTTGGAAAGTAACAAACATCTACAAACATTCAAGATCGATGTACCTGAGCAAATGAAAGCAAGCCACCACAGGCAGGTTGGCCATGATGTCCCCAACTGACCACACAAAACACTCATAGAATAAAGCCATGTCCACGCAAGACCACTCAGTGGCCAGGTTTGGAACAAGAGAGATAAGGCCACTTGGTACACAAAGTAGTTGAACACCCCCCTCTTCTGACCACATCAGTGATTGTTGCTTCATTACTAATGACACTTCGAGCCCAATTTTAACTCTGTCCTCCTAGAAAAGCCTAAGATACCCAAACATCAGCCTGCTGCAGCTTCTTGACCACACCTAACCCAGAACTGCTCCTGCTCCTTTGAATCCTCCCTAAAACCACCCAGCGCAAGCCCACATCCTATAAAAACTCCTCAAAACCCCTTCCAGAAATGGCTCAGTCTCTCTGGTTTTCTCCCTGGCTGCAACTTGTTAAATAAATTTGACTTTTCTTTTTCTTTTTTTTTTAAACTACATGTGTGTTTCTCGTGATCTTCATCAATGGGTGCTAACATTCCCTGAGACCCAGGAAATTTCATGCCTAAGATTTTACTCTACAAATATACTTGCAAAAGGCTGTGTGTGTGTATGTGCGTGTTCTCTGCAGCATTTTTGCAACAAAAACTGAAAATAGCCTATATGGATATCAATAAGCAACTAAATTAATTATGGTGTAGCCAATAATGGAATATTGCTTGCTGTTAAAAAGAATGAGGTATATTTGTGTGCTAACATGGAAAGATATTTAAAATAGGTCTAGTAAAAAAAAAAAAAGCACATTGTAGAACAGTGTGCATAGCATAAGCTCATTCACAGAAAAATAGTAAAGAAAAGGGTATGTGTGTTCCTTTCCCAGAATAGAACATTTCTGGGAAAAAACATAAGTCCTCAAGAAACTTCTCACTGTGGAGGACGACTTTACTTTTTACTTCACACCCTCTGTGTTGTTTGAATTCAACCATGAGAATGAGAAAAAATTAAGTAAATATTTATAAAGTTAAAAAATATAAGTACTGAACACTGAAGATTAGAATTTCTTAAAGGATAGCCCATTATAAACTGAATGTGTATTAAATGGTCACATGTATTAAGCATTTTTTTTGAAAGGCTGGAGTTTATATGCATCTCCTCTCACCAAAAATCTTATAAAAGGAGTCTTATAAACTATATTTGGTAGTTTACAATAAAGATAAAAATGAAAGGACATGATATTTGTTTAAAAACAATTTTTAAAGGATAGGAGCACAGTATGAACTTAAGATACATTAAGTTTTAAAAATTAGACTATTTTTAGAGCAGCTTTAGATTCACAGCAAAATTGAGCAGAAGGTACAGGGATTTCCCGTATCCCGACTTCCCCGACAGGCAGAGCCTCCCCCGTTATCAACATTCCCCAGAGTGGAACATTTGTGACAACAGATGAACCTACACAGCCACATCATCATCGCCCAGAGTCCACAGTTCACATTTGGGTTCAGTGTTGGTGTTAGGCTTTCTAGGAGTCTGGACAAATTTATAATATGTACCCACTATTACACTATCTTACAGAGGGTTTCACTGCCCTAAAAATCCTCTGTGCCCTGCCTGTTCCTCTCTCCCTGCCTTCTGCCCCTGGAAACCACTTTTTACCATCTCCATACTTTTTTCTTTTCCAGGATGAAATGGACAGTTTTTAATCCAAGTCGAACTGAAAATTTTTCTTTATTCCACTGATTCGATAACTCCCACCAGGTGGCAGCAAAGATTTAAATAATGAGGAAGATGCTGGGTAACATTTTTTTTTTTAAAGCAGATAATAAACTTTAGAGATGGCTTTTCAATTCTACAAATGAAGACAGCTGGGCTCAGGGAGGGGACAGGGTTGCTCGTGGTCTCCCTGCTACACCAGCAGTGAGGGCTAGGGAGATGGATGGTGTGGGGAAAGAGAAAGCACAGACTGGTGTCAGGAAGATTTGGGCAAGTTACTCTCTCTGAACCCTCATTTCTTCATCTGTGAAATGCTGACAGTAATACCCAATTCCTAGGTTGCTAAGAGGAAGAAAAAAGATCATGCATTATAAAGAGATTTGCATAACACAAAGCTTAGTACATGTTAGCCACTCAATATGGTTCCCCTTTCCTTGGTTAGGGACAGAGCTAGGAGTAGGAACCAGGTTTCTTGACTCTAAGGCTCTTTTTACAAGCAACTCACTGCCTGGACATTCCAGGGCTATGAAAGAAGTTAAGACACAATTTGAGAACCACCGCCACCACTATGATCACTCTGCACTGAAGACTTTCTGTGAATCAGTCACCATGTACAGGCTTTGTAAACATGGTACCATTCAGTCTTCACAGTCATTCTAGTCAAAGTGTCTTGCATTCTGGAAGCCCTCTGACCTCACAGATCACGTCTGTACTACTCAGCCCCTCCACATCCTGCACAGTGGCTCATGAAGGGCAGACATTCTGTCTGACTTTGATAATATCTTACAGAGAAACATTCAACGAATGCTGAATGTTTAAAGCCAGCCAGCTGGTAAAGTTGGGCTGGAAGTAGAGGCTGGAGTTAAGCATTCTCATCCAAACATTAAGACACAAATCAAGCAAATCAACTAAGACTGCCCCCTAGATAAGAGAATACATACCAGCCCCCATCAGCTGACCCAGAGTATTCTGGTATATTCCACAGAGGTGTATTCCTCTCTGGACAAAGCCATGGTCATCTTCTCTTAAGCCTGACATCATGCTGGGAAAGTGGAAAAGATGCAGAGACAAAAGATTTGTGCTAGACTGTTCAGTCCTTGCACGCTCACCTCAACTAAGCTCTCTTATAAAGACCAAAATGTCCTACTCTCTATCTTCATGTTTTTCAGCTGCTGAGAAAATTGTTTCCACATCACTGAAGCAGCTGCTGATAAATATAGAAAGCTGGTGATTGGCACTGGAATTATTGCCGAAGTTAGAAATAGGTGAACATGGAGAAGCGCTGTGGAAATAAAACTCACTAGCAATTCACGTCCTCTACCAAGAAAAAATAACGGCCAAATGTGAAAAAAGAAAAAAAAAAAATCTTAAACAGGTTGCCCCAAATCCTTTACTCTTGGCACCAAGAGCCAGAGAAAAGCGGGGGTTTGGATACTCGTGTCCGAGTACACACCTGGTTCCATATATATATCGTTTTGTTCAAAGGCAATAAGTAACTGTAACAATAGGGATCCTGCCTGTATCATTAAAACATTTAACTGTGTTTGGCATAGGGCCATGGACACCTGGGCTCTAAGTATTGAAGAAGAGTATATATAACTCTTGGGAAGGAAGTCAGTGTTCCCAGGCTAAGAGAGATGTCATCACTTGGGCAGCAGCACTGAAGGTCCTGTTGGCCTGGATACCTATGTTCTCCTTGAGAACTATTTCTACCTTCCTGGAATTTCCCATCTGGGAAGAGTAAGGGCCAAAAAGATGTCTTACTCTCTGAAGATGCCTCTCTGGAAAAGAAGGCTGAGGACACAGAGCTATGGAAAAGAGAACTGTGTGGTGGCTAAATTCCCATTCATCCCAGCCTTCCCAGGCCTGCGAGCTTCAGACGTGCATGGAGTCAGTCATTCATGAGGGTGGTAACTGCTATTCAGAGCACCTACCACCTAGGATCAGAGCTTCCAGAATATGGAATGGGACTTTTCCTAGTCTCTCAGAATTTTTGGCTAAGGCCTCAGAGCTGAGGACGATGGTGACAAGTATTCTATCTTCCAAGGAAAGGTGCAGGACTTGTCAAAAAAGGCTAGAATCTACCTGATGACTATCAGCCCCTATTCTCTACCTACCTTGTTAATCAGCAATTTGAAATGAGACAGAGGAGAGTGGGCACGGAGCTGTCCACACCGCAGGAGTGTGTGTTCCCCTCTCCTCTGCTGTGAGAGGGATTGGAGGGCCCTGTAAGAAGACAGAGGGCAGACCAGCCTTCCTCCCCCCACCTAGATGTCTACTGAGTGGGGAAGCTCAGGCCTAGTGCTGCCGTGAGATCCAAGAGAAGCTATTTTTTCTTTTTAAAGGA